AAGGGAGAATCCAAAGTCTCTAGTACTAAAGTCGTTGATGGTCGAGCCGATCTAGACGAAATCGAAGGCCAAACTAAAGTGGACGGCTGGGCATGCCTGGCCACAGTACAGCATGGGTGAACCCCGTTGAAGTGTTTTTCTGGATGAACGCCGGAGTAGGAGCCCTTGGCCTCCTCGAGGATACTCGGGCTGAAAGAAAAAAGAGGAAAGAAAGACTAAGAGGTCGGTCCTCACAAAGCAATAAAAATTAAAAGCGGATAAACTCACCAGTCATAGAAGGCGCAGGGCCAAACTTTTTAAGGAAGGCCGGTTATTTACGGATCCCTGCTTTGTAGGGGTGAACCCGGCTCACCTAATTATGTATGTCCTTGACCAAGGGAGGAGGTGCGATCTCGACTATAAAAAGAGAGAAAAATGTCAATTATAGTTGAAACTAGCGGAACCAAGGCATAGTACAAAAAGAAGAGAGAAAAAGGGATAGATGCTTATGGGCATAGTTCCAAACCTCAGATAACCCGCTTGTATCGACCACCACGTCCTCAGCTTTAACGTAAAAGTAATTGAGCCAAAACTGACGGCTTGCCTTATCATCCATCTTCACCACTAGACACTTGCTACCCTGGTGGCGAAGATGTAGCATCGTCCCCCTATGAAAGCTAGGGGCAAAGAGGTGCATTAAGTGGCAAAGTGTCACCTCGACCCCGGCTAGTTCCACATACTTCGCAAGCACGCAGATAAGTTTATAGATATATGGAGAAAGTTGGGCCGAGCAGATGCGGTAATAGCGCTAGAACTCCTCGGCCAAGGGGAGGATGGGATAAGAGTAACCGACATAGAAAGGGTACACGTAGAAAGCGCCGTACCCAGAACGGTGTATTTGCACTATGTCGTGCCTTGGTGGAACTAGGTCTATGTAAGCATCAATTTTTAATCTATCCCTAAATTCTGCAAGGCTCACCTTTTTCATCAATGACTCCGAAACCTCAAGGTCGTATTCAGGCACCTTTGAAAAATCAGATCTATCTTTGTCACTATGGAGGATTATCTTATCCGCCATAGGAAGGTTCTCGTCTTCAATAGCAACTGAAACACTATCATCATGGGGAGGTATGCGCACTGCCAAAGGAACAGGTTCTGTTGCCCTCCCAGAACTAGAAGATGCATTAACCATCTTTGTTTGTTTATATATGAAGAAAATATAAATACGGAGAAGTCATGAGTAGCAGAAGTCACCAAAATTAGTGAAAATAAGGATACAAGAGTAAGGGTAACGGAGCAGGAACTCTGAATGAAGAAGGAAGAAGTAGATGCAGGGATTCAATATTTGAGAATGCAAAGAATAAGGCAAAGGGTTTCATATCCCTATTTATAAGAACTCAGGCATCAAAATCGAGAAAGCAAACTGTATGCCCAACACATGTATCGAAATGGCAGAGGCATGGGAAATTATGCAAGGCATCAGAAAAACGCGTAATAATGACATATGACGTCATGATGTCACTCTGAATCAACGTGACCATAAGTTACGGCTCGCAAAGGACCACGTTTCAACCTCGTTTGAGATGTTACTACTCGACCTACTCGCCTAAATCTCTCAACCACGACTATCAGAGTCCGCTCATTTAGGTCGTCCAGAGTCGGCCTCAATAAGCGGAGGGACTAACTATATGGGTTAAAATCTGCCACAAGGGAATTTGGCATGACGGGGAATTAAAAAAGATGACGCGGCCGAGGTCGACTAGTAAACAGTAAGACTCGTAGTCGGGCAATTAACGATGATCGAGGTCGAGCATCAAGGACAGATCATAACTGCTAGTTTTTGCAATAGGATATTAAAGAAAATATTCCATTGAATATTATCTGCATTTGTACTATTAGGGTTGATTAGGGGTATGACTCATATAAATAGAAAAAGAGATAAGGGGAGAGGGCATGTAACATTCATTTGGATAAGAACACCTTCTAAGAAGAAGACTCTTTCTCCGGAAAAGATACAAATATTACCTTTCTAATAAGATTCTTCCATCTATCATTTCATACTTTCCATCAGATCCGAGAATAATTCCAAAATTCTAGGATTCGTCTATCATTCATCACTGTTAGAAAGAAAAATTTTCCACCTCATTCAATATTGGGTGAATCATTCTCCTTATTTACGTTAATGTCATTTATTGATATTTATTGTTTGATACTCTCTTATCATTACTGAAACTTTTCGTAATATTAAATGCACGCCGCATTTAATTCCCTACCAACGTAATCTTGCAATATTTGTGCTACCGAGTTATAAATCTAGGGATATTATCATTAACTTAGTTTAATTCCGTATTACATAAAATTAATTAGTTTAATCAAAGGTTTACACTTTTTGGTCAAACACATCCAACTAGTTTAGTCGGCTTATATGTGACGCTCTTTCTGTTTTTAGAGTCCCAAAATGTTTGACACTGTTTTATAAATAATACGAAGTGTTATTTTATAGTACATTTTTATGATCTCAAAGATTCAAGTGAATTTATCTATTTTAGTTTTGAAAGAGTAATGTATTTCAAGTTTGAGGGGAATCAATAAACTTATAGTATAAGAGAAAAACTTGGCAAAATCGGTGCATGCACTAATGACTAAACCATATGAATTTATCACGATTAAAGAATAAATTAAAGTAATAATTCATAAAAACTAATCATATTTATGAGATCTGACGTGGAAGACGCATGCCATAATTATTGCTTTTTATACATGAATTAGGTGCTAGTAGATATTTCGAGATTTTTACATGGTAGGACTCTTACTTAAAAATATTTATACAAATAATAATACTTGTCCGGATCCCACCTTTCTTCCGAAAAAAGGGAAGGAGAAGGATCTTCTTCAGTAGATCCCTCTTGTTCCTATTTAGTCCCCTTCATTTCGGAAGCTCTTTCTATTTCTACATCTCTTTCTTCCTCACTTTCCACCTTTTCTTCTGTTTTTGAAGCTTCTTTCAAATTTTGCTTTATTCCCAAAATATACATGAATTAGGTACTAGTAGCTATTTGAGATTTTTACATGGTAGGACTCTTACTTAAAAATATTTATACAAATAATAATACTTTTGCTTTATTCCATAAAAGCACATTCAATTTACGGTTATAGCATTTTTAAAGATTCATTATTTATAGCCCGTTTGGCCAATTTTTTTTTTTGGGCAAAAAATGCTTTTTTTGGCTAAAAATTAAGGTGTTTGACCAAACTTTTGGAAGAAAAAAAGTGCTTTTGAGGAGAAGCTTCTCTCCAAAAGTACTTTTCTGAGAAACAATTTTGAAAAATATACACTTAGAAGCAGTTTTCAAAAACATGGCCAAACATTAATTACTACTCAAAAGTATTTTTCAAATTAATTAACCAAACACAAACTGTTTCTCAACAAAAATATTTTTTTTTCAAATTAATTTACGTATATTTAATAATATCTGAATATATATGTATATTTGACCTATAAAATATGTATTTGTATATATGAGGTATATGTTATTTATTCAATATACATTAATCGTATAAATAGTAACAAATTTAATATTTATATGTTTATGTATACCACTTTTTATTCCTTAGGTATAAATATACGGTAAATAAATTTTAAAATATAAAATACTGTAAATAATATTAAATAACTTTTTTATTGAATTAAATTCTTTTTGTGACAAGATTTTGGCTCAAAAAGGGTATACTATGCCTACAGGGAGGAAGGAGTTATTGTTCATTATTAGAAAACTGAATCACTTCGGACGTGTTTTAGGAATGAAATTCTTTGGATACTTTTTTTTTTTCTTCTTAAACGTCATGATTGATCCGTGTTTATAACTGTCTGATAAGATATGTATTTATTTAGCTGCCATGTTAGTAAAATAACTGTTGCTGCTAGTTTTTTGAATTTTTTTGTTTTTAAATTTTGCCTACATGTGTTTTTCTAGATATTTCGTAGTAGTACGAGTAAAGTGGATTATTTGCACAATATGACCTTTTCTTGTGCCCGCTCTTTAATTTAGTCCTCGATAGCTCAACAGACTTGGCCAAGCTTCTCCAAAATAAAAAGCAATTATTTTTTCCAAAAAAATATTTTTTTTTTCAAAGTTAAAGTGTTTGGTCAAGTTTTTAGAGGAAAAAGTACTTTTGAGTAGAAGCAGAAACAATTTTGGAGAAAAATACACTTAGAAATAGTTTTTAAAAATTTGGTCAAACACTAATTGCTGCTCAGAAGTATTTTTTTACATAAATTAGCCAAACACAAACTGCTTCTTACCAAAAATACTTTTGAAAAAAAAAAACTTCTCAAAATAAGCTGATTTTTGCAGCTTGGCAAACAGGCTATAAGTTTTACTTCTAAAAGATTTTTCCCTTTTTTATTTCTATTGTAGATAGTCACACTTAATATCATATAACAGTAAAACTATTAGCTTGTTATAAGAATGGACTACCTTCAGCCTAGCAAGAATAAAGCGAAGAATTAATCGATCTAATTTTCCTCTTCTCTTATTGTATAGTTAAAATATCCAATCGAAAGTGTGGAACTTAGCTCAATATGGTGGATAGTTAGATGATCTTTTTCGTTCTTTTTGCAGATGAATGTAACCCATTGAGCTAATGGGACATAATTCTAATAATGGACTAAAAAGGCCATTTGTGCATATACCCGAGTAGAGTCCACATTTTGCGGCCCTTTTTAGACTACAACAACAACAACAACCCAGTATAATCCCACTTAGTGGGGTCTGGGGAGGGTAGTGTGTACGCAGACCTTACCTCTACCCTGAGGTAGAGAGGCTGTTTCCAAATAGACCCCCGACATCCTTCCCTCCAAGAACTTTCCACCTTGCTCTTGGGGAGACTCGAACTCACAACCTCTTGGTTGGAAGTGGAGGTTGCTTACCATCAGAGCAACCTCTCAGAGCTTACCNCAGGAAAAAAATGGGCCTCAACCAAGAGCGCATTAGGCCTACTGGAAATCAGCCCATTAACTACACTCATTGAGTTGTCTTGTTGAAGGAGGCATCCTCATCAATTTTCTCCTCTTTCTTCAATTTTAATTTCAATCATCTGCAACCCTAGTGTTTTACTCTCTCTCTCTCTCGCTATGACGAAGCAGCAAGCTAACTGGTCTCCTTATGACAACAATGGAGGGTGCTTCATTATATATTATTATTATTATTATTATTATTATTATTATTATTATTATTATTGTTTTTGCGTCCTTTTACTTATTATGTCGATGTTGATCTCGATGCTAATATATCTGATCCATACGCTGTTGCAGAACGCGTGTTGCGGTTGCAGGTGGAGATTACTGTGTAATTGCTGCTGACACTAGGATGTCCTCTGGCTACAACATCCTAACTCGCGATTACTCCAAAATCATTAAATTGTATGTTCCGTTTTCCTCTAGTTTACTTTGTAATTGTTCTGGAGTAGGACAATCATATACTTATTAACACAAATTTTAAGCAGAATTTTATTTAAAAACTTATGAGGATGTAATGAACTGAAATGAACTAGAATTAAATGAAAGTTCCCACAAGGACTCCCCAACTCAGAAGAATTCATATACTCCCTTTATTTCAATTTGTTTGAACCTTTTCGGAGTATGAGGGTCAAATTTTCCGTGTGAATTTGGTCTTAGATTCTTTAACTTTTTAAAAATAAATTTTATTTACATATTTAGAACCTACATAAAAAAATATATTATAAGTCACAGTAGTTAACACTTAACAATTCAAAATAAATTAAAAATTATTTGCAAAAATGTGGTCAAAGAAAACTTTGTTCGACTCCTAAAATTACTATAGGTTTATTCTTTTTGAAACGGAGTGAGTATGTCACAACTCAGATAGTTGTGTGAAGCATATAGATTTACCGCAATTGTCTGAAATTACGCTGAACCAAACCAAATGTTCCAACCATTGAAATTCTTGAACGCAAGCTCTTCTGTACTACAAACATCCAACATAATGATGTCGCTAATGTTAGTTCTAAGAAGTAGGGCTCATTGGGCCATGTGGAGATCAGTGGTCTTGACAGTAGATATCTCTTCAGACATCACAAAGGTATTTGATTTCTTCCGCACATTTTCGCAATCAGCAGTTTGGTAGTTTGCTGTCAGAAACTTTAGGAGTCTTTAAATGCTTCAGAAAGGTTACACCACTAATTGGAAGGCTCAAGCTGATTGGTATTCGGGAAACAGACTGGTGTGTCACAGAGGATACAACCACAATCCAGTAACCTATTTTTGTAAGTAATGGTCCTTCTGCTCTTACTTGGCGGACCTTTTTTTCATTGGAAAACGGCGTGCTTGTTTTATAAGTAGCGTATGATAACATACATAAAAGGAAATATGAATCACAAATGGAGAATCCATCACATCACAGGACTTTCATAGGAGCTTCTTGATTGACAAATATCAAAAGGAATCTCTGTCCATGGCTCACAAACACGACCTGAGCAATAACTTGATTAGGATAATGGATGATGATATGCACCTCTAGAAGTATCGGAAAAGTTTTTTTGCCATGTCCTCCTGGCATCATATTTCAGCCTACACTTCTCTGCTCCCAAATTTAAAAAGTTCATTACTAATGCTAATCACGTTCTCCAGAATATTTTAATGATACCCACTACTGAAATTTTCAACCTGTTGAGCCCTATTATTGCTTCATTGCTTAAAATTTCTTCAGTTCTACGTATCTCGGGAAAACCACTTTTTGAAATCAAACTTAGACTCTTTGTTGGAGCAATGAAAAAGGTTGAAGAATCAGCCGAAGAATAAGACAATGGAGTGATTACGCAAATGATACATATTCCTTGTCTTGATTTCCAAATCTGGCTGCAATCTCTTGGGGTGGTGTTACCCTAATGATGTATATTCCTTGTATTGATTTCCAAATCTGGCTGCAATATCTTACCTTGACCCATCCCTTCGCTGTCTCCTCCAGCGTTTCTGGACCCATTTATCTTGGTTAATTTAGATTTTGAAGCTCCTCTCCATCTATTGTTGCTATCTCGAGTAACGTCGATTCTTCACTAACATCTGGGCATTCACTGTGAAGTATAATTGCTGGGGAATTTACTTCACTGTAAAGATTTATTCCAAGCTTTTCATGGGAGTTTCTTCAGCCATGACTGTCAAAAAAAAGAAAGAATCAAATGGGAAATTTATTAACTTGACAATTTTATTGCGCTAAAGTTTGGGG